TGGAAGACAAGCTGCCTGAGCGCTGGCGTCGAGTAGTGGATGGTGATGGTGCATACCTCTAATCTTCAGGCTGGTTCGCTATTGAGATATTTACAAAAAAGTCGGGGGAAAGAACTTATGCAACAACCTAATAAACGGAGCCTTGTGTAGATAAGCGGCAGAAGGAAATCCAACGTACTAACTCGGAATGGGTCACACCGCCAATCGAAAGACATACTTACATGATATCAATAACAGCTAGTTGCCCTGCTACAGCTGCAAGGATATTCTCATGAGAAATCATGACTCCTTTTGGGTTTCCAGTTGTTCCAGAAGTGTACATTATGACGGCTATGTCTTCTGTGAGCTCCTTGGCGTAAATGGTTCGGCTGGAAAGAGAAATTGTGATTGTGGATTGGTTTCCTTTACTGGTACATGTTGTAAGTCCCGACTAGCGGCGAGAGAACAGCAGCTGTGGTGCGAGCGGGCTATTTTATTTGGCATTTCCACGTCAGGACACTCTGAAAAAGAATACAGGCCAGAGCGCGGAGAATTAGAGGACCGCAGCAGTCAAGGCATTGAAAGCTGCAAAAAACATATTGCGAAAGGGGTGAGCTTTTTCAGGGAAAGGGGATCCCCGGGTGGACAGCTACTTAGTGTGAAAATTTGGATTGTGTGAGATCTCATTGGTAAAAAAATGTCATGCGGACGCGAAAGCGCAGAGAAAAACAGAATGTTGGCGCGATTAAATGGATTAAGCTATGGTTGTCCATATCACCCCACTTGCAACGGCTTTTTCGTCGCGCTCGCCGCGATACAGAAGTGATGATATACACCCCCGCGCTCACAGTTTCCATTGAACTGCAAGATCTGGACCAAAGGGATCAATAGATTCATGAAATCAGTCAAAAGGAATTCTATGGAACAAAAACTTCCTAAAACTTACAGTTCCCTTATTCAGCAGATCCTCGAAGGAGAGCATTTGTACGCTCTCATCATCATGCTTGTGATCAGTCGCTGGATCAGGGCTCGGGAAATAGATGACGTTCTTTACATCAGCGCCATTTTTTATCGCTTTCGACACCTAGGTCACGAACGGTTCGATATGGAATTCCTCATGGAAGCTTTGAGTTGAGGCTCGCGCTACGGATCAAAGGCACATTCCTCGATAACCAAATGGGCGGTGAAATAGGCGGAGACTAACGGCTAGTGCGCTTAACTCATTGATGTGCCCGTTTTTCCACTGTAAAAAAATGAAAAAGCGCGCCAATAAAAAAGTCATAAGTCTTATGTGACCTCACACGACCGGTTATCGCGGAATCTGCCTTCAATAAAAAGAAACAGTGAAAAACCGGTCAATAAGTAATCAAATGATCCAACCTTAGGCAACAAGATTTCAGATGTGAAAACAGTTTTCGCATCGACTTCTCTCAAAGCATATTCCACAGCTTCGTCACCGAGTGTGGCATATACAGTAACAACTGCAATATTGATATTTAGTATTAAGCGTCTAAGAAGCATTAGTTTAAGGTGCCAAGAAGCACTAATGTGTTATCAACTTGGTGAACGTGGAAACCGATTGATATCATCACATTTTAGAAAACTCTCATTATGCGAACGTGAGGTTGCTCGTGAACTCTCACGATTGGTTGTTTGCTCACATCAACCAATAAAAGGCTATTGGCGTAGTTAGTGGGCTATATTTCGTCTCAACTTTTGAAAGCCGAAGTATTCCCAACCTAAAACTCCCTAAATTAATCTGCCAATCAAGTAGCACCATTTTCTCTTCTCAAAAGCACTTGAATGCATACTTTCCGTTTACGCTGTGACGCATTCTTTGGACTTGGTAGTCATATCCACAACTGTGGAAGGTTTGCTACGTTCACAGCTCAAAAATACATAAGGAAAGCGCGACCCACTCGCGACAAAGCCACCGCCCCGCCCACTGGAGACCGCTACGCCCAACTTCATTTCTAATGGTTGCCTGGTGGTGCGGTTGTTCCGTTACTAGCTCTCTTCATGTCGAATGGTGAGAGTGAGGTGATAAGAGGAAACAGCTGACACCTACTGAAGAAAAAGCCCATATGTCTGTATAGAAGCACTATTTCTGGAAGAAAATAGCTTCCAAACCTGGTAAGCAGCTCTTGAAGCATGCAAGAGCAGTTGTCATCCATTCCTCCCGAGTTTCAGCGAACAGTATAATTTTGTCGTTTTTCTGAATATTTTTGTAATAGAGGACTAACGAACGCCTACATACAATTCGAGGCACTCTCTAAGTATAGGGTTGAGAAACGTGAAGAAAAACTACCGTAGTACCTACAGCATCAAAAGTACCGCAAATACAGAAAAAAATAGCATCTAGTCCAAAGGCAGCAGGGGGCGGGGCAGTGATCTTGAATGTTGAGTTTCTTTCTGTGCATAGTTCTGTCGTAGCCACCAAACATTACCTATAGACCCCCCCCCCCAATTAAGGGAGGACGGTATTATACAGCTTCCGTAGATGCCAGTCCCAGACTAATTTAGGATCTTTTTCACGATTCTTATGAAAGAGCGCTATCTTCCCACCATTACTTTCGTCTATATGACTACTGCTTGAAAAATGAGATTAAGCGCGTTACCTTATACACGCGTAGGGCGGGGCTAGTGGAAGGGGAGGATCTACGAAATGGAGTGAGAATTTTTGGTTTCCTGCTTTGACTCATTGGAACGGGTTCCCGGAGATTTACTGAAGTAATTAGTGCGCAGAGGTTGGGACCACTCGTCGCTCAATAAAAGCTATTTGAGAAAGGTAAGAATAGAAAATTGAACTTGCCAACCAATCGCAGAAAGAGCGAGGCACCTATAGTTGACTCGTTTATCGATTTTTGCGAATGTTCGCCAATAATAGTTACCCATTTCCCACTGAAATTTTTGATTTAATAAGTTAACAAGTCAGAAAATTTATTGAGTGCGAGAAATCATAAATGAGGACCTTTTCAAAGATCTTTCCGCTCTTTTGCTTCTCCTTGTGAATCGATAATACTTCCCGGGTTCCGAGGCAATGCGGAGAATCTATCCATATCTCCTGTAAATGTGAATTCAATGCAAATGAAAAATATTATTTAGGATTACGGGGAATAGTAATGTGCGTCGCGGTTAGGGTTGGTCAATGCCTTAACCATGAGATAGGCTACAGTTAAAAACACCAAAGTACGTGGATGTATGGCTCCGTTCATACTTTGCGGCAGCATCCGCCGTCGTTTCCCAGCGTCCACCAGCAACCACCAGACGCAGTCGCGTTCCGAGGTCCGCAGCGAGAGACTAGGAGAGTAATATATAGTCATTCGCAGGTGTATGCAAAGCGCCACCATCGTGCACCAACGACCGCAGAGTAGAGAGATATGGAGCAAAGCAAGAAACCCGTGTCGCTGCGTTGAACGCTGGTAGACGCTCGCACACGGCGCTTAGACGACACCTATACTTCCCTAGCCCTCGAAACGCTGGCAAACGCTAACAGACGCTAGATCGATATCTCTTTTGCTATTAGATGGCTTCCGAACACTCGGAAAGCTAGCGATTGCTGGTGGACGCTGGTTAGACGCTGGTGGACGCTGACGCAAAGTATGAATTCAGCTTAGGCAGTGGCTGGCTGACGAGCACGCATGTTCGTTGTCTGCTTGCAGTCCGAAGAGATCGGCTTCCCGGGTGAAAACCGTATACTTCTATCCAAATAGATAGATATCTCGCCAATGGCACGAAAAACGTCTAGTCCTTAGATTTCACTCCGCTGGTCAAATATGCATTTGACATGACTCACTAAATGGACTTCTAGCACTTAGAAGCGAACAGGACAAAATTATTTGCCGTTTCAATACTTTGTGGGGAGACTTCGATGATACCGCAAACCAATGATGTGCCCTGGTTTACAGCCGACGAGTATTGGCGCGACGCCAAATCTTTCTCCATTATCAGTTCAGCGCAAATTACGAGAGCAATTGCCGGAAACGGTAATCGAAGACTCGTTATAGTCTTTGCCCTTGCTCGCTTGGCAACGGTGAAGGAATTGGCGTCCGCGACAAAAACCCATCCGGTCTACCCACCATCCCTCCATCCGTATGTGAACAATACTTTCTTTCCCGATTTGATGTAGAGTAACACAAAGTGACGCTATCAAGCTACTATCGAGTGGTCGATCTATCGGCATTTAACAAGCGTTTTCATATCATCTCTAAGGACCGACTAGTTGACTGGCGGGCTTCCGAAAGATCGCAAATGTGGTACACATCGAACTGTTTCCACACGTTCATTTCGGAAACGAAAAAACTCTAGTACCCTTACGGCTCGTCAAATGGAAGTGAATAGAATGTATGAATCTCGCATGAGATTTATCAAATGTTAAAGGCTTTGAGAAGCTTTCATTTTGTATGATCACTTGGGAAGGAAGGCGAAAGAACAATAAGATAGGATTAGTGGAAGCATATACTTTTGCTTTGATTACATGTACGTGAACTTCGTATCAGTTAATGCTAGCTCATTGGTTTTATACCGTTTAGAACACTTTTTCTTGTTTCAAAGGTCAGTTCTCTGTTATCGCTCCATAAATCGCGTTTCCACATAAATCACGAATATAAGAAAGAGATGTGAATAACATCCATTTAGTGCTGTAAACTTTATTTCAGCCTTGGTCATGTCGAACTATCAGCACGAGAATCAGCTCATGTCTCGTTTGAATCGGATGCGCTTGGGCTTCGATCGACCTTACTTTCATTTGGAACAATTCGAACGTCTTCAAAACACGACTCTACGGCCAAGGTCTGTTGTCATTCTCTCGCAGGTTCTTATCATGTTAATCATCAGCATTTACTTTCTGTCTCATGTTATAAAATGAATCTTAGGTCTTTTCCTTGATATTTTCAATGGCAACAGTTCTAGTTCACTTTGGTAGCGCTTATTCAGACAATCCCCTTTGCACGCTCGCCTTATCATTCAGGCATCGCAAATGGAAATTTTACAGCTGATAGAGTGATAAGGCGATTTGAGGACCTGTTTTTGCTCCGAATTCTTATCTATTGCGTCCGGCCTCTAGAGATTCAAAAACAATATGGTTAAATTTTGTTCTAGAAATACGTTTTGATTGAAAACATCATGCTTTCTATTTCAGTCAACTCCTGGTGAAAGTCTGCCGATGGATTTAGAGGAATATGATGATGACCACATGATGGCGCACAAATCCGTACTGCGCATGAGTTCCACACCAGTGAATCCAAACAGCATGAGCAAGCAGCAGGTCGATTCGGTATGTCCGTTTAAAAGAGTTTTCGGAAAATTTTTCACAAGCGAATGAAAGAATATGGCAAATCGCTGCAGGTGAAGAAATGGCTAAAGAAGATACCATCTGGTCCAGCTGCTCTAGAGACTGACATGTCATCCATTATGGCAGAATTCGATGTGATCAAGGTGAGTTTGTGATACAGTCGATTCTTACCTTCAGCGATTTTTTGATGCATCGTAAGAATTGTAAGCAAAATTCACCTTCCGACACCCGATTCTTCAAAATGAGTTTGATTGTCTAACGAAATAGGAGGGGGGGAGATAAACCAATGGGTCCCGGAGATAAATTTGGCGAGAAACTCGTCCCCCATGCGTACTTTAACTTTCCATGGGATATCACATTCATTTAGCGCAAAAATGCGTGCCATTCCACTACTGACGCCGGCCCCACGGGCATTTTTTGGAGCCGGAGCTAGCGCAAGCGCGCAACGCTATCATGCGGATCTGAATCAAGGCATTGGGTATCCAGGGGGAGGGGTTGTCGGGTTTGATCAGGGGAAATTCTTCTCTATCCGTGGGCCTTTACAGTTTGCGTGCGCTACTCCATCTGATCCCTTGCGCCGCGAAAATTCAATTTGAAGTTGTTATGGTGTACCTCCACCAACAGTAAAGTTTTGGAAAAGTTTTTACAGAATGTGTGAACTCACACGTGCAGCCATGTTTATCAAAGCATGCTTGCACGATGCCGGCGGGAAACTCGCCAAAAATGCTCGTTCAATGCGTGCAGGGTAAAGGCTTTTTCTGCGTGCAGGGCAAAGGCTTCGTAAACTTTCGGCCCTTCAATTTTGCTTTTTCTTCATTTTTTATTATATAGCACCTCTGCTGCTATTTTGGAGCACGCACCAAATTATCGTGCCTCATGCCTTTGAAGATATGCTGTACACTCACCTCTGAGAATGCTGGTCCTGTCAGCAGCTGTGGAAATTATGCCTGTTTGGTCCATCGACTTGGCGACATAAGGAGGCGAATCACGTAGACATGTAGCACGCTGCGCCTGGTTGCGCTCATTTCTCTGGGAATCTGTTGTTCTCTATTGTTTGCCGCGATAAACAGCTTGCCCTGCATGTTGTTGGCTGCGGGAGCTCGGTCGTACGTGCTGCACCAGCCACATGGTATGGACATCATGTGGGGACCACAACGACATCTACGCTTGACTATGTTACAGCCTCGTTTCCGCGCCTTGACTAGAGTAGTAGGTGCGGGCCCAAACACTTCCCAAACGGATTCACGTCACAGGAAAAAGTACAGATTGCCCCTCTGCAGGGAAGTAAGTATGAATGGGAGCGCTTAGACGTAGCTAGCTTTGTACGTTTTATTATCCGTTGAGAATAGATCATCGTTTCGTTTTATTTTATAGACTTCGTCGTCACCAGGAGCGGAAGCTGAGAGCTCTGACTCAGCATCGTCGTTCGATATGGTCGTTCAGGATAATCTGGTTGTTCAAGATACAACATCGACCCATCCTACTCTCCATGCACCAGTGGAAAAAGTGCTGAGCGCTGAGTTCTTGAATGTCAGTACAGTTATTGTTCAGCAATGTTTACTTGATGATCGATAAACGCTCTGTTAATCGGCTCCTATTTAGACTCTTCAACAGCCGTTATCTTGGTGGTTGATGCGAATAATTCCCAAAGAAAGCCAGAAGGTCAGTTTTATTCAAAGTGTAGCGGTGTTTGACCTTTGAAATTCTGTCCATTATTAAGGCGCTATGCTCTAAAGTTCACGCTAAAACGAACGAAACAAAACATCGGCTCAAAGTAGACGTCTTATCTAGTGAACCGTCATCACTGTAGACCTCTGACTCTATTGATTGTAGTGTATTAATTCCACATTTTAGGCTGAATCAAGTACAGAAACAGTTCTACACGAATCCATGCGTTCAATGAAACGGCCTCATAGCAGTAGCGATGTTAAGAGGTGTGTTGTGACCACTGTCACTATTTTGTCAGATGTAATTCATATAGCCGGAGGAAAGTGAATGTACTGCTCCTGAGGCTCTGGTGATGCATCTCTGACCAAAAATGCTCAGAATGTTGGAGTGCTTGAGAAATGGATTCGCAAAGGGGTAAAATTGCTTAGCTGTGCCCAAAACGGCTTGCGCAACAGCGCAGGTGTAAACTTTCGGCCTTGATTTTTTCTTCTTCACCTCTTAACAGTTGGTGGAGCAGCTTCAATTTACTGCCGCAGATTGCTTTGTATATTCTTGTCAACGTACCGGGCCGTTTTGTGGAGACCTAGGAACTCCAGCCAAGCAACGAAATGGCCGGGGTTTCATTTTCATGTTGGGCAGCATTTGGTGCAGATGGGGCGAAGAAAGACACCGTTCAGACTTTGCAATGATGCGCGTCAACGTGCTGTAACGCGCTACAATTGCAACGGCACTCCCATACTACAGACGCAAGCGCAGCTATAACGCGGGCGACGCGGCGCCGCGGGCGCCTCCCATTGGCCAGTGCCGATACCAGGCTGCGTGATTAGGCAACGTGCGCCCTCCTATTCCCACATACTCTTTCAATGCAGCGGCGCCGACCGATCGACAGCGCGTGGGCGCGCGTCATCGCTAAGCCTGTATGCTGCCAAAGCATTGTCAGCCAAAGGATTAGGATTTTATTGAGCTGAGGGAAAGCGCCCCAAGGTGGGTGGATTAGTTTGCGCAAAAGGGGCTAATAATAGAGGATGAAAACCAAAGTCTTCACGACAACGGCCATTAATTACATTAGTATAATTAAAAACATTATATGCAACTGCTGAGGCGGAGGTGGTGTAGTGACAAGTGGCGCGCTTACCACTCGCGCGGTCCTGGGTCGAATCCCAGGTCGACACCCGCCCAGGCCAACCAAGCCTTCTACCCTCCGGGGACGGTAAATTGGTACCAGATTCGTCTGGGCTGACTTGTACATCGGCTGGCCACCGCAAGTCATTGTATAGGCCACATCGCATTCAATAAGCCACTACGATTCTGAATGGAAGTAGAATGCGTGCCACATCCCTAAAGGGATTGATTAACGGCGGAGACGTTATCCTTTTTATACAACTGTTTATAGTATATTTTTATTTTTATTTCAAGCCTTCAAAGCTTCTTAGTGGGTCTAATCCGAAGTAGATCGTTTCTCTTTTAGGCACTATGAATTTGAAGACGTCATTGATAGAGTGCGTGCGTCTAGCAACGATGCTTGGGTTCTAGGATCGGAGCCTTCAAAGAAAACTCGAACAGAAGTAAGGTTTTCAAAAGCTCTACTTGGGTCAGGCTTTTTTTTCATATGAATGAGGCTGCCGGTGAATCGCTCAATGGCGAACTGTACACTCACCTCCGAGGACGGTCCTTGCAATGTGCGAGGCGAATGGGTCCGCAGCTGCAGTAGCATGCCACTTTCTCCGCTCAAAGTGCATCGGAACGGGGATGGAGGCTAGGGATACTCGGATGCTACCTCCATACTCCGCCGCGCTATCATCAAGGTGCAGCTGCTGATAAGTAGCGCGTTCCGCTATGGCTGGGCGTGCGGCAGTTTGGTGTATTATGGAGGCGGCCTTCGGGTACCACCCACCCTTCCCCCCCAGGCCCATTCCTCCATTTCAATAGGCTTTTAAGTGGAGGAAGGGGCGGGGTAGTGCCGCTGCGAACCTGTCACCTCACACATGGAGAAAACCTTCTTCGGAGGTGAGTGTACAGTTTGTCATGGAGTGTTTCATACCACTGCTGGCGAGGATCATCTCCACTACCCTTGTTAGACACCATGTCACTGGACAACAGGTTGTCCACCACTGCTGGACTTGCCCGGGAGGGTTAATAA